ATTGTATAATATTAAAATAAGCTATAATATTAGCAAAATGAAAAGGGTTTGTAGAAGTTAAAAAGGTATGTTGTAATATATTTTTTGAGATTAAAATTGGTTATATTATCATTTTTAGCAGCTTGTTTAAGAAATTGTTGAAAAAAAGTATAAAAGAAAGAAGTTTTATGTTTAAAATTGGTAAGAGTATTATTAAGTTGTATAAATTGTTGTTCTGCTTTATAAGCAAGTTCTTTAAGAGATTTAAAATGAAATGGTTTAAATAATATAGCAAATAAAGATTGATTTGGTTCAAAGCTAGAAAAATCTAGATCTGAGTTGGTATATTTTAAAGTAGTTGGAAATTGTATAAAGAATTGTTTAAAGAAAAAAAATGTTAAATTATAAAAAGTATGTGTAATATTGTTATAAAGAATATTGCAAATGGAATTTGTACAGATATGTAAGTATAAAGCAGCTTTAATTGATATATCAGTATGTTTTTGTAGTGAATTAATTGATGTAGGTTGGTAAGAATCTGGGAGTAGTTGTTAGAAAGAAAGGTAATAGTTTGAAATTTAATATGATTATAAACTTTTTGCTGATTGATATTTGAAAATTGTTTTTTATAAAAATATAAACTAAGTCGAATAGGTTTAAGATCAAGATCAAAATAGAATTGAGTATAGTTAATAGTTTGATATTTATTATGAAGAAGAAGATATAAATGAGCAAGATTAATTACAATATTAGCATGTTGAGAAATAGAATGTAGAGGTAAAAAGTAGTGTGAATGAAAGATTTTTTTATAGTTTAGACTTGTAAAGAGAATAGTAGTGAAGTTGGAAAAAATATTTTTAAAAGTAAAAAGTAAGAATTTAGATAAAATATTAGAATTAAAAGAGAGGTATTTTGATAAATAATATTAAAAAGAAATTGTAGTTTTTGTAAAATTATAGTTTGTATTAGATTATTAAAGCTATTACAAATAGGTTGTTGAGAAATAGTAGAAGTATAAATTGTATGTTCAGGGTAAAAGTTTTAAAGAAAAGGTTTAATAAAATTTAAAACATTAATTCTAAAAGAAGTTGGGAATTGTGTTAAATTTTAGACTTCTGGATTAATTGAAAATACTTGAAACTAGTCAAGCATGTCACTAAAAAGCTTATAGTGAGGAAATTTTTGTTGAATCATAGTTAGTTTAGAGTATAAATACTAAACGTAACAAGAAAAAATAAAAAACTTAATAAAGAAATATAGATAGTTTGAGAAATAAATCTTGATGGTGTTTTTGATTATGTAATCAGAATCAGATAATTTTGGATTCATTAGAAGCATCTTGAAGAGGCCACCATTTTGGTAGTTAAATCATCTAAATTGGTTAGGTAGATCAATGTTTATTAAATTTTAAAGATTTTGTATTATTAATAGATATAATTATTATTATATATATCATATATTACTGATTAAAAGCAACTCCTCAGATTTTGGAGCAAAAAATTTAACTACAGTTATTATGTTTTACTAATAAAATTGTACTTGAATAAAAGCAACCCCTTCATTTTGGCTCGAAAAAGTTCTTATTTTTTTTGCAACATTTTGGTTGCTTCGATAACATATAGTAGAATAGTATATAAATATAGAAAAATATATATATAAATATAAATTATAAATATTCAATTTTTTGTAATTTTAAGGTGTAGATTGTATGAAAATTATGTGTAGAAAATTTAGAGTATTGAGATAATAAGGTTAGCTAAATAAAGGGTTATTATATAAATAATAAGCTTTTGTGTAATGATTAGCAAATTTGTGTAAAATTGATTGTTATAAAAAATATAAAAGAAAAATTAATATTTCCATAATATAAAGTTAATTTGAATAAATTTGGAAGTGATTGGATATTACACAAAAATCATGTCTAGTGAAAAGTGCAAAAGAAAGATAAAGTAAGTTATAAAGAGTAAATAAAAGAGAGTTAAAATGGTTTAAAGAGTAACTTCATCAATTTTGATGCCACAGAGATGAAATACAGTTTGTTATAATCAGAAAGGTGTGTAGAACAACTTTTAATAGACATAGTACAGAGGTTTAAAATCAGATTAAAGAGTAAATGACAAAAGTAAAATTTTTTTTTTAAAGGCTAGCTTCATTAATTTTAAAGCTACAAAGATAAAATATAGATAAGAAAAGTGTATAGAACAACTTTTGATAGATGTAGTGCAGAGATTTAGAATCAGATTAAAGAGTAAACAGCAAAAGTTTAAATTTTTTGCTAAAAAATATTTTAGAAATTTTCTCTAGGAATATAAGAGCTAAGGACTTAAAATTTGAGTATTATGTATATTTTTGTATGTTGGACAAGTTTACATAGTAAAATTTTGTGTAAATGGATATTTTTTGTTGGATGAATTTAAGTAAATTTTGTATTAGGAATTTACAGAAAGAGTTACTATAATTTCTGATAAACAACTTTTATTAAGATCAAAACAAGGATTTTCTTAATAAAAATACCTCTAAAGCACTTTTTTAAAATTTGAGAAGTGGTATTAACAAAAATAGGAATGACAATAACAAGTCTCTAATCTGTAAAATTTCCCTTCATAACTTTCTTTGTTCTTGAAAAATTTTTTTGGATAAAAAGTGGAGATTTGGCTTACCCCTTCAAAAGATCAATATTGTTTATATTCCAAATCCAGATATCCGAGTAGATTATAATAACGTGTTCGATAGATATGGTGCTACTAATTTAGACAGGTTCCAGATTCTAATTGTGGTAGCAGGTGGCTTGAGATACAGGTCTATGGACGGTGGCAGCACCTGGCTTGAGATACGGATTAGGTCAAAACCAAATATTCTGGAGTTGGTCATATGGTTGGAAAGAAATACTAATATTAAAGCAAAGCTTTACAGTAAAGATATACAAATATTGTATTTGTTATATAATTTTTATACTTGCCTGACATAGGTTATAATAGTGCACACACTTTTTTTTTTTTTTGTGTTTATTTTTGTTCTATTTCTTGATAGAAGTAGCTGTTATTTCTTACAAAAGATAGCTTTTTCTTGTTCAGCCTATCAAGGCTTATCTTTTTGCTTTTTCTTTTTTTACATTTTTTATTTTCTCTATTTTTATTCCTTATTATTTTCCCTTTTTTGGTTTTGTTTCTTTTTTGTTTGTAACCCTTTTTTTTCTTGATGTATGTTTCAGTATTGAGAGTATAAAATATTATTTTCTTTTGCTCTCAATAAAGAATATAAGAATGATGCAATAAGCTTTTGCAGGCTGACAAGTCTTCTAACTTATATATAGGTTGGTGCGACAAGTCACTCTTGGGCACACTAGATACAGCTGGGTGATGTTGGACTTGCAATTTTCTATACTGTCATTATATATTCCTTTCAAGTTTGTTTAATAAAGTATTGTATTTGAGCTCCGGCAAGACTGTCAAAGAGCTAAAAAAAATAAATAATAAAAAAATAAATAACAATAATAGAAATTTATTTGTCATTATAAATAGAATAAATGTATAGATCGCACTCTGTAATACACTTAGATATTGCTCGACCAATAGAATATATATCACGTGATTAGGTAAACAATTTAAAATTTTTTTCTGATTTGTTTTTTTGTTTTGATTTTTGTAACACTTGTTAATTTCTCCGGTGTTGCCCTTTTGAAGTTGTCACTTGGTTTCTTTTGTCGCTTTGGAGTCGTCATTCTTGGAGTCCAACTACCATTGTTGAAATTGTTATTAGAGTCACCACTTTTGGAGTCATCGTTTTTGGCATCTTTTTTTTGGTCACAACTATTATATATGAGGAGGGCAATAGTAATTTTGGTTTGTCTTTTGTAGTTTTTTGGTTGTCGTGATTTCAGTATTCTTTCTTTTCCAGTGCTTCTTCATTGTCTTTGGAGCTGTCATAGCTTTTGGAACTTTTGTTGTTAAAATTGTCATTGGAGTTATCACTTTTGGTGTTGTCATTAGAGTTGTTATTTTTGGTAACTTTTTTTAGGCTTTGTTTCTTTTTTTGTTTTTTACTAACTTCTGTTTTGTTTTTTGTAGATCTTTTGAGTCGTTGTAATTTCGGTCTTTGGAATTATTATAGCTTTTGGTGTTTCATTGCTCTTTTGTTAAAATTGTTATTAGAGTCATTGCTTTTGGTATTGTCATTAGAGTCATTGTTTTTGTTATCTTTTTTTAGGCTTTGTTTTTTTTTGTTTCTTTTTTTGTTTTTTACTAACTTCTATTTTGTCTTTTGCTGATCTTTTGAGTTGTTATGATTTCAGTCTTTAGAATTATCATAGCTTTTGGTGTTTCGTGCTTTTTTGTTAAAACTGTTGTTGGAGTCATTACTTTTGGTATTGTCGTTGGAATTGTCATTTTTGTTGTCTTATTTTAGGCTTTGTTCTTTTTTTGTTTCTTTTTTTGTTTCTTACTAACTTTTGTTTTGTCTTTTGTAGATCTTTTGAGTTATCATGATTTCGGTCTTTGGAATCATCATAGCTTTTGGTGTTTCATTGCTCTTTTGGGCTAATATTGTTGAAATTGTCATTGGAGTTATCACTAGAGTTATTGTATTTGTGTCTATTTTTAGTTAATTGTGTTTTTTAGGATTTTTGTTTTGGTTCTGTTGCTTTTTTTTTCTGTTCTTAAACATTGAGATTGAGTTTTTAGAAATTAGAATAAGATCTGTGAGTGTATTAGGGTTAGAGTTTAGAGTATTTAATCTAGTAGTTAATATTTTTATTTCAAAATATTCATTACAAAAAAATTTTGCAATTTTTAATATTCGTTATATCATTTAATAAATTACATCTGTTCTTATAAATTTTAGAACAATTGATTGAATAATTATGTGGCCAACTCAATAAGTTTTTGATTTGGAAATCAGTTAAAGTAAAGTGAAGTTGAAATTTTATTAATATTAAAGTTAAGGTTTAGCAAGAGTTAGGGTTAAAGTGAGCTATAAATAAAATTACCTTTTCATCATTTTTTGTTAATACATCAAAGTAAATTTAGGCTACTATTTCTTGTATTTTCTTTATTTCTCTCTTTTTTTTACTTGTTTTGCTTTATTGTTAGTTGAAAAGGTTCCAAATATAAGGCCATACAAAGTTGATTTTTCATTTTGCATTATCTGCCAACACATGACATGATTATATTTGTTAATTATGATCATGATATATTGCTAGTTCTGTTTGTAATATATAAGTGTATTATACTCTGGATGTGAAATAAAAGTGCTACACAGAGGTGCGATATCTAGATTAATCCTAATTTATATACAAATGTACTAAATTTTACAACTTGTTGCTCTAACTCAATAAAGACTCACCAGGTTGAATATTTAATAAGATCTGTTATAACAACTGTTTACTTCTCTTGGGATTTTTAACTTACTAAAGATTTTTACCATGATTTATACCTCTCTTAATCATAAGTAGGCCATCAGATGCCTGTCAGAAACACCTATTGTTTTTGTTAGATTTTAGCTAGTAAGGACCATTCTGGTTTCTTTTCACATAAGACCTAATCTTCAATTATTCTGTCTCTTTCCTTAAATACCTCTATCTTTTTTCTTCTCTCTTTATTATTATTTTCTTCTGCTCTTTCCTTCATATAGTCAGTGGTCTGAAAGTTGCTATTTTCTTTGTTTACTCTATTCTTTCTTCTGGGCTTTCTTTTTTCAGGCTTTTATAGTTTTTTCTCTTTGTTTATATCATTACTCTTTTTCCAATCTGTTACCAACTCGCATCAGAAGCTCCAAAAGTGCTTGGAAAATCTGTGCTAAAAGTAGTTGAGTATAGCTTGTACAAACTTGCTGATATTTCTTGTTTCACTTATAATTATGTCTATGTTATCTTACTTCTGTTTTGAAATTAACTCCTTCATTAGCTCAATTCTTGCTAAGATTCTTTTCTGTATACCTTTGCTGAAAATTATATCTTGTATTTTCTGTGTATTTATGGTCTCAAGCTTCTCCTTTTCTTCTTTTTCTTAAATACACCACATTTTCTGAATTCTGGGCAGGCAGCAAGGTGGTCTTGTGTCTTAGCTTCTTGCTGGCAAATCTTGCACAGATTGCCTAAGTATAGCTCTGCTTTTCTCATATTTAGGACTTGCATTGTTGGAAGCAGACTATTTAAACACTTTATTTTAAAAATCTATTCTTTATTTTGAGTTGAGCTTTTGCAGTTTCTTCCTCATACTCACTCTATATCTTTCCATACTTCACTTCACATGATTGCTTCTGTTTCTTGCTCAGTATCAACCCATTTGATTATGCTTTTTAGATTTTTCTACTCAATATTGATAGTGGTCTCTGTTAGTTGTATAATAAAGCTTCATGTTAAGTCATTTAATTTTGGATTTTTCCATCTTAACTCTGTTGCTACATGTTTGTTCCACAGCCATCTCGAGTTGATGATTTCTGTACTATGAGTACCTTTTTTTGTGAGCTTGTTTGCTTCCTTATTTTATTTCACCTCACTATGAGCTTTTATCTTCTTGAAACAGACTTTAAGCTCTTTTAAATCAATAGTTTACTGTATTTGCTCCAATAAACAGAGGTTTTTCCTTTTTAGTATCTCAGAAGCTCTTTCCTCCTTTTGGCTTGCTTGTACTGTCTGTATTGCTGCTACATTATTAGTGCAGATCTCGATTTTGGGTTTGCATAGGGCTGCTAAGAAGACTGTCTATATTGTACCAAGTTCTGCTCTTGTTAATGATAGCCAATCTTTTAACGCGCTTTAAAGTTGGCTAGTACTTGTCTACCAGTTTTATTTCCTTTTCCTGAGACTACAACTTAGCCAAGTCCTATTTTTTTTTTTTTGGCTCCTCTTTTAGATTAAATAGAAACCTATTTGTATAAAAGAATATCTTCTTTTCACTTTTTGGCTTGGTTATCACTTTTTTAATTTTTTCTTATATTTGTATATCTTTGATGGCTAGGTCTACTATCTCATTCTCTAATAGATAAATTGTGATACTTTCTACTTGTCACTTCTGAGTACTCTCTTCTTCTCTTGTAGATAGGCTTGTTTGTTAATATTAGTTATACAATTTGTCATACTATATTATATATAATTTTTTTATATATAAAAAACATATAAAATTACTATGAACTTTGCAGCTTTGATGTTTTTTGATCTATATATTAACTTAAAATTAAATTATATGATTATATATAACAAATAAAGAAGAAAATTTTAAGCTTAAAAACCAAGTTAAAATTTTGCTATTTTTGTACAATTTCAAAAAATAACTTTATTAAAAACAAATATTTACTAATTTTAAATTAGTA